TATGAAGTAATTTCTTCTTAATTCTTCTTCTTCTAATTTGTTTTGATCTTGGCAAAGCGGTCGTAGTCACGTATTAATTAATAAAATTACTTATGTATCACTGTTTAGAGTGGCACTTAACGTACATACATAGATGCAGTCTGCTGCATCCACACTAGCAGATGAGATTGAGGTTAATTGCGCACTTTGCTACACTCACTTGATTAAAAAATATAATAAGAAAGCTTACTCGTATAAAGCCAATAAAGCAGTGAAACAAGATCGCAGTTCCACTATTTTGCTCAATATTCTGGAACCCTGTCTCAAGTCAACGCACGATATACGAGTATACAGGGTGGAATTTTGTAATCTGGAGGGAAAGTACTCTTAATACTGTAGATAGAAAATTGTACTCAAAGAAAACATTCCTTTATTTTTGAAAAGAAATAGAACTGCATTCAAAGATTTCCAAAAAATTGCATGCCACACCCGGGATTCGAACCAACTAAAATCTTTTAAAAATTACACCTGTATTTTTATTACATAGATCGTTAGGGTTAAGTTTATGGATGAAATCTCTCCAACAAATTTGATAAATTAAATGAAAGGAAAACCATCATCATCATCATCATCATTTCAGCCATAGGACGTCCACTGCTGAACATAGGCCTCCCCCAATGTTTTCCATGTTGATCGATTGGTAGCGGCCTGCGTCCAGCGTTTCCCTGCTACCTTTACGATGTCGTCGGTCACCTTGTAGGTAGACGTCTCACGCTGCGTTTTCCGGTAAGGAAAACCATTAAATTATTTTAATTATTTACAGACTATTGTATGGTATGGTAGTGAATTTTCGAAAAAAAAATTCAAAAATCTTTGAATGTAGTTCTCTTTCTTTTCAAAAATAAAGGAGTGTTTTCTTTGAGTAAAATGTTCTATCTACAGTATTAATGGTACTTTCCCAGGTGGCATTACAAAATTCCACCCTGTTCCATATTGTACATCTAATAAGACGTGTAGCTTGTCCCGTCCCGCAATTTCGTTACGGTCCAAAGTAGAAGTGACTACATCTCCGCTTAATAATCCTGAAGCTTTTGTCGAAAGTTCGTCGCCTTTATTACAGTTTTTCCCCAAAAGCTGGGATCGTGGGAAATGGGGAGATTTCCCCGAGTTTACGTTGAATTAAAGATGGCAGCTTTGTCATGGAGATTCGCCGGTTTGATTAAGTTTGGGAGGCGATTACTTAGTTTTTGGTGGTTGTTTGAACTAAGTTTTTAGATCTACTTAGTGGCGCGGCTTTGCCCGTATAAACTTTGCCGAAAAACTTTTTAACACATACATGATGATTCATTAGTAAAAGGATTGATTCTACTGCTCAAATGCAACTTTTCCCAGGGAAATAAAATTTTCCAAAAAACTCTTTCATTCAAATATTCGCCAGAAATCAACCTTTTAGTATGAGGAAATCAACATGAGAATTAATAATATTAGTCCTATATTAAAATGGAATTGTTTTATTCGAGTAGTATACAGGGTGTTAGGTAAATGGGTATATGAGCCGACACTAGCCCATGTTAACATGGGCAATAAAATAAAAAAATAAAATGATGACATCAAATNNNNAAATGACATTGGGAACTTTTTGCCCCACTTTTCGAAAAGTAGCGGACACAAACGAAACCTATCACAGATGATACATACTAATATCCAATGAATTTCCGTGCATTTTTTTTTCTCTCTTATATGGGAATATTGAGAAAATGAAGTTTTAATACTTTATTTTATTTTACATTTAGGTAACATTTTTGACGACCTCCGTGGCGGAGAGGCGCACACACCGGTTTTCAAGGTGTGCCGGGCCAATCCTGAGGTCCTGGGTTCGATTCCCGGCCGGGACAATATAGAAAACGATCTTTTCACATTGTCTCTGGTTTGGATGTGTTGTGGTTCGTCGTTCCCGATTTCCATAACACAAATGCCTTAGCTACTTATTTTGGGTTGGAGTAATATATGAGATGTTGTCTAATATTAATTTTTGAGAAATAGTATTTATAATATTTTATTTATTTATATTTTTTATTTATTTTTATTATTTTATTTACTTTTATTGGTTACTCTGCAATGCCAAACAACATAACATGTAAAAATATCAAATCATTTTAGACAAATATATTTTCAACTTAGACTCGTCATATCTCAGAATTCCCATATCTCACAATATAGCGCTTTAAGTGAATATACCTACAAGTATAAAGCTTTGAAATAAAATACGTTTCATCTTTATCCGCCGTGGGGCATTTTCTCATATTAAAGTTCCCAATGTCCTTTCTGACTTCACTATACCATTTATATGCCCATGTTAACATGGTCTAGTGTCGGCTCATATACCCATTTACCTAACACCCTGTATAACCCTGTAGTTTAATAGGAACGATAAAGCATTTTGTTCACGTATTTTGCAGTAGATAACTCGTATTAGGTAACAGGTGCACGACCCTTCTACGGTATTACACTAAATTTCATATCGGAAGCATAGATATTAATGTATCTATTCAATCTAAAATATACCCAACCGGGTGTGCATAATACCTAAGTTACCTAGTTTTAAGTTTCTTAATGTACCTACATGTATTTTATTGCAATAAATAAATAAATATGGAACATTATGAGTTTCCCATAAAAACTTGTGTACGACTATGTAACGGTTAAGGTGTGGAGACAAAATAAGATTTGTTAAGTTTTTGTATAAATCTGAATACGATTTCTTAAATCAATTCAAAGTGCAGTTTGTATTAATGATACCTACACTCGTGAACGAAATTTACGTCTTTTACTACGAGGGATATTTATTAATTGAAAGGCTTTGTTATATGTAAAATGTAAAATTATATTGCTTCAAATAAAATAAATTACATTTCGTTTTGGTAGAAAATTCAAGACAAAAAAGAAAAGTGACAATCGATGAAAAAACGCAAAAAAGTAAAAAGTATTTTCTAACCGGCCAGGCGCGCGGCCAATGAGTTTGGTATGCAACCTCAAAATTGTATTCAATACTTATAGGTCATCAAGACGGACCTGTACATTTCCGCCCGCTAAAGGACATAATTGCAGAATGTCCTTTACTTAGTTAAACAAAACAAGAAACAAACAAAATTTTAATCCATACTATACAATTCAAAGTTAAAGTTAACTATGTACACGATAAGCTTAACCAAAATAAACTTCCTTGCCTTCAGCAGGCATAATAGTAACAAATACTACTAAATAGTTTACGTAGCACATACTCTTAACTAAAACATACTTACTCATTCTGATTAAAAAATTAATAATAAAAATTTAACTTCAACTAAACAAAGTTTTGAGAGGATTGCTACAACAAAATATTAATCATAAGAATTAAAGTAATTTTAACATACACATCATCTTTACATTTCGACTTAAAATTACAATAATTAATTATTCCGCTAATGGAAGCACACAAATTTTGAACACAGGTCTTTTGATCAAAGAATTTTGTGTGCGAACAGTAACCACTCGGGTGATCTGATCAGGGCCAGGATGTTTCTGCTCGACTCTACCCAACAACCACCTGCCAGGAGGCATGCCATCTACTTTGATCAAAATCACGTCCCCAGTTTATTTAGTTACCTTCGGCATCTTCTACCATAATATACACTACAGCTGCATAATCTGTTTTTGACGCATTCGAAACTATTGAATTGAACTTGTTTATCAGAAGTTTTTGTGTATAACCAGCGCGGGATTATCACATTCTTCAATGCACTCAAACTATCACGGTAAGTACACCATTTTCTTAGTAATTCGCTTGGCAGCTCNTGAGCACATACTAATTGAATTTCGGTCCCTGGACCTATTTGCGTGCCAGAAACAGTCTACTTGACATGTCTTCTCTAGTACGTAGTACATTATAACTCAATGATTTTGACACAGTCGAAATCTCGTTGACGTTTGGAAGTCGTCCTATTGAAAAACGGTTCTAAATCCGTATTCACAAAGGTCATTTTGATAAACGATTAATCGATAGGATCGCAACTCAGCGATTTGTTGTCGTTGAAGTTTTGTTACGTGAATAAGGTTACGGGCCTTCGTTGTAGTGAACCTACCACACCTTCTTTATTTGTGGCGGCGTATTTGCAAACTTTTCCAATATACTCCAGCGGAATGGTTTCTGGAAAATAAGTTGGTGACGTGTCTTTATTGTTTTGTTTCTTTTATAAATTGCGCGTTTATATTTAGAAGTGAAGTTTGAAATTCCGCTTCAAACAAGAAGTAAACTTTCAGCTTGAGTGGTTAAATTTGATCTTTACTCTGTAGGTATTAATGTTGATAATGCAAAAGAAATGTACATTTTAGGTTGATATTAGGAAATGAATCGTAGACACTTAGGCCCAGAACACACGGTGAAACGCAATTGTAACGAAACTGCAACTTCTAGTTACTTTGAGTTGCATCTAAGTTTCTGCCATAGATTCCGTTGAGAGACCACACCTCATGACGCGACCAGTTTGAAACCGGTTTGAAAAAACCTGTTTAAAAAGTAACTAGAAGTTGCAGTTTCGTTGCAATCGCGTTTTATCGTGTGTTCTGGGCCTTAGGATTTGATTGAAGCTCAAGCATAGGGTCTTGAATAACTACGAACGTTAGTCTGATTTCTGGTTACAAGCTGAACCATTAGTGTGAAATTCGGTAGGTATAGGTACTTAGACCTGACAAGTAGCTCTTAGGTCTTGGAATAGAAAACTTTTCATATAAAACATAACTTTTACCAATAGCAGCCAAGTTCAGCCTGCTGTCGTTTTGACTGATCTTATAAGAAAATGTCATGCTAATATGGGCTCCAGCGTCTTTCGAGCATTACGTCGACGCTGCGCGGGCGCTAGCAAGAAAATATCGCCTGAAAGACGCCAAGAAGTGTGGAGGTCCCTATTGGTTATACCTTATAGGACAATGAGGGAATCACATCAATTAATTTAACTTAATAACTTTTTTGTTTGTTGTTTCAGAGGAGCTGAGTGGCATCTTCGTAAAAAGCATCAGCGAGGGCAGCTCCGCCGACCTCTGCGGCAAGATACAGGTCAACGACAGGATTGTAGAGGTTAGTTATTATTGATTTATCATTTAACATTATTCCCGGGTGTTCCCGGTTCCCAGCGTAGGTAGGTAACAACAAAAAAAAAACTAAGCTTCAAATCGACCTGCATCTGGTGGTATTGAACCTGACACTATTTGTTTGTATTTCAAGATGTGAGCCAGCGTAAAATGCAAAAATCTTAATAGCTACGAGTGTGGCCTCATACTGAACAGATGTCAATTTAGTACAACAAATCTTGTTGCTCTTTAAGTTTATAAATAAAAAGATACTAAAAATTAATACAACGTTTTTATTATCAGAAAGAGTTAGGTTACTGAGCAACATTTTTCTTTTTTAAAGGTTACAAGATTGAGACTAGGACCATAGGTTTTTAAAAAGTTTGGTTACTTTCTCCAAAACTAGGATTACTTTTCACTGCTATTTCACGTAAGCAAACACGTATTGTTCTTTCTTATCATTTGATTGGTAAACACAACATTATTATGTTTTGGTTAAACATACGAGTATTCTAGCGTCTCTGTATTGTTGATTAACTATAGTGTACAGTTTCCATTATTCGAAGCCTATTGACCGGGCAACATGTAAACGAACTGGACATGTCGCAGCACAATTCGGTCACTCTGCAAACAAGTGCGCCCTGAATGCGTGATTGGGCGAGATGCACTACCTACTACTATACTGCCTCTTCGATGTACCGACAGCAGAACAAGTCTTAGCTTATGGTTTTATCTATTAATGAAACTCTGTTTTCATTGTTATCAAGTTTTAAACATTTACCAATACATGGCTCTGTAACAATACCTTACCAAATCTTTCATTTTCCTCTGGTAAATTGGAGAGAGACATAATATTCCTGCAGTGAAGACTGAATGATCTGATCATAGGTGATGCTGATAGCTAAAATTGCTCTATTTTTCGTATTTTTTGGACAATCAGTTTTATTTAAGCCTGCAATGCCTTAACCCAACTAGAAAAACAAAAATTTGTTTTTAACACTATTGAATCGAATGCAATGCCTCTGCGTCAACAGAGATAAAACCACTTCTAGAAATTAATGCAGTGACATACTGGTTTAGTTGTACTTACTGAAATTATGTGTGTACTATGTTTCTTCGAAGTAATAATTAATTCCACATAATACCAAAAACTTGTGGAAAACGTTGCATTGTGATATTTTTGTTGCATTTAACTTCATTCTTCTGCTGTCGCTACCTCCAATTTGAATAGCGCCGCCCCGCGCTCTCACGTATTGTTCTACTCCACTCTGACGCTTATTTACTAGCAAGCTCGTTGCGTCGCCAATTTTAGAGTTTAGACGTTGCAATTTTAGATGAACTTGCTACGTGACTCGGTTTAATTGGGCTTTTTAGGTCAAGGTACTAGATTTCGAAATGTAGCTAAGATTTGAACGTGATAACCCGTACAGTTATGTGTTTGAATCCCAAGATGTACTCAATACGTTTATGGCTTCCATAACGTAACATAGGGTTTGAGAAATCAAATGTTTAGTCTTGTAGAAACATCCGTGTATTAGTGTGAGTAAATATGTAGGTATATTTTATGATATAAAAATTCGTTAAGTTGTTCTGAGTGAAAAAGACGGGACTATTCCCACCTCTCGTTCCCACCACTGCAACTCCTGTGTAGCCAGGATCTACAGCTTGACCGCCACAAAAACCCAACCAATGAAGGTTAAGTTTGTCCCCGGGGAAAGTTAAACTGTCATTGGACCCGCAACGAAATTAATCAGAAGAACATAGGAGGAGTTCGAAATTAAGGTTCGACTTCCCTCCATTGCAAAGCGGATGACAGGTGACAAACAAAGGTTTAAAACCTTTAAGAAAAGATTATGCACCACGGACAATAAATTAAATTAAGGGGGGCTATCTTATGAGCAATTAGCAACTACCTGCCAACATTATTTTTCACAAAATCGCTTAAAAGCACGGATATTTTGTTCTGAGTGAGTGTGAGAATCGTAGATCGTAGCAGCAAGCCACAGAAAGGTCAATATGATCATACTAGAGGCAAATTTTGCCTCACTAGCCCGAGCATATTTTTTTCCGAATACCTACCTCTAAGTTCTTTCTTGAAATAAGATATTTCTTATATTTATTTGTTTATAGGTGGACGGGGTTTCCCTGCACGGGGTGACGAACCATAGAGCTGTGGCGTTACTAAGAGACGCAAAGGGGCCGGTGGTGCGGCTAAAAGCATTACGGTATGGCATAAAAAATGTTTGTACTCGTAGGATTATAGTTATGTTTTATGTACGTGATGTGATTCTGCAGAATTTCTCTAGTAGCCACAGGTGCTTTTAGTGTCGGTGATCGGCGAATTAGCCACTTTTCGGAAGCCGTCGCTAAAACGCGCGATTCCAATACCGCATACGAACGCATGAGGTCGCGAAATCGATGCTGCATCGATACAGTCGCAAAATCACTTATCGCTGATGCTAAAAGTAGCATATTATTATCTGCTGAGGCCCTTAATGTTTTATCTGTCTCTGACTAACCGTTCGGGAATAAAACCTCGAACCGTACATCAGCAAGTATCCTGTGTACGTCACACAACACAAGCTGAGACGCGGACCTTTTCGCTGCCGTAATGGACTGACGACCTCATAAAGGAAGCGGGAAAGCGCTGGATACAGGCTGCCACCAACCGGATATTGTGGAAATCATTGGGGGAGGCCTATGTTCAGCAGTGGACGTCCTATGGCTGAAATGATGATGAAAAAATGAAAAATCTTGATTTTGTTAACAACAACAATGAATAGAATATAATTTGAGGTGGACTCTTTCTTGTAAGTGCAATGGCACCTGTAACAGAAGGAGTCGCTCTCCCTTAACAAATTAACATTAAGTATCATTTCTTGTCATAACCAAAAAAGATAATAAAATCACCACATATTTGAGGTTGCTATGTGTATGATGATGATGATTCCATTCTATCCTTCCAGGTACTTACGTGGGGCGGGGTTTGAGAAGCTTCAGAAGGCTTTAGCAGCGCAGGACGGGCGCCGTTCCCCCCTCGCGCCCCCCTCTCCCTCCGTCACTTCTCTGGCCAAATATAGTTTTAGCGTGGTGCGTATGAATTCAGTATTAACTTTTTTAAATACCAGAAAACGCAGCATGAGACGTGGAAGTCATTGGGGGAGGCCTATGTTCAGCAGTGGACGTCCTGTGGCTGAAATGTTTTATTTTATTATAGTCTTTTTCACNTAATAGCTGTGAGGTAGAAGTTACGGGACTATTCCCACCTCTCCTTTTCACCGCTGCATCTCCTGTGTAGCTAGCACCTAGACTAGTTGATTTAAAGCCAAGGTATATCAGTTTTTAGGTAATGACTTAGTGCATCTAAAAATGTAAAACTTTCTAGTTTTTTGTAACATTGAAAAATCAAAAAGGAAGCTTTTGATGACAACGTATTGCTTACTTTTTCAGCTGTCGAACGAATCACTTTTATACTCATAGGTCCTGTACATCGGTAGATTTGGTAAATAAATGAATCCATCCGGACTCAGAAACTAAAAAAATTAAAATAGCTGTCATTTTTTAATACTGGATTTGTCGATTAAATTGATCATATTACTGCGCCTTAACGGGTCGGACACTGGTGACCAGACACACTGTACAATTATTATAATTTTAGCCTATCTCGTGAGCTAGGTGTCAATAATTAGGGTGATTNTACAAGTATTATAGCTACATTTATAAAACCACTAGCTTTCTGCCTGAGGCTTCGCCCGCGTGGAATTTTGTCTGTCACCGAAAAACTTTATCGCGCTCGTCCTTGTTTCAAAAAACCGGGATAAAAACTATCCTATGTCCTTTCCCGGGACTCAAACTATCTTTATGCCAAATTTCATCAAAATCGGTTCAGTGGTTTAAGCGTGAAAGCGAGACAGATAGAGTTACTTTCTCATTTATAATATTAAGTATAGATAAGTATAGAATGTATAGATCTGAATGCGATTTTTTTAAACCAATTCTAAGGAGGTTCGTATAATGATATACTCGTACATTATAGCTGCTTGCCATAGCTATTCTAGCGACGATAGAGAACTAGTAACAAGCAATAAGACCCAATAAAATCTTTCGCGGTATAAAATATACAGGAAAAGATACAGTTGGACCACTGTATTTACGACAACGTAACCAATAACAATCTTTTATCTTAGCTTATGTCTTGATTATTTTCACTATCTACAAGTTAGTCTTCTTTCATTGCATTACAGAGCTTTAGAAAGTTTTTTTTCTTTCAGACTCCATAAACGTAACTTGACATTCGGTCGTTCGTTTCAGCCAAATAACGTCTACTTCTGGACAAATTACCTACCCCAAGGATTTCCATAATGACCGGTCTTGCGCTGCCCGTATCCAGGTTCTTCTCGTGTCCCTCACCAGATCGTCAGTCCACCTAGGGACACTTCTTGATATACAAACAGCGAAACTTTTACAAAAGCTAACTTAGAGTCCAGGGCTTCGTTGTAGTAAACCTACCACAGCCTCTTTATTTGTGGCGGCGTATTTGCAAACTTTTCCAATATACTCCAGCGGAATGGTTTCTGGAAAATAAGTTGGTGACGTGTCTATATTGTTTCTTTTATAAATTGCGCGGTTATATTTAGAAGTGAAGTTTGAAATTCCGCTTCAAACAAGAAGTAAACTTTCAGCTCGAGTGGTTAAATTGGATATTTACTCCTTAGGTATTAATGTTGATAATGCGAAAACAACTTACATTTTAGGTTCGTATTAGGAAATGAATCGTAGACTTGATTGAAACTCAAGCATAGGGTCTTGTTAGGTATAAGTTTGAGATTTAATTGAATTTTCATTGTTGTTTTCAAATAACTACGAACGTTAGTCTGATTACTCGTTACAAGCTGAATCATTAGTGTGAAATTCGGTATAGGTACTTAGACCTGACAAGTAGCTTTTAGGTCTCGAAATAGAAAACTTTTCATATAAAACATAACTTTTACCAATAGCAGCCGAGTTCAGACTGCTATCGTTTTGACTGATCTTATAGAAAGTGCCATGCCAGTATATGGGCTCCAGCGTCTTTCGAGCGTTACGTCGACGATGCGCGGGCGCTGGCAAGCCGACGACGTCTGAAAGACACTAGTATCCTACTAGTGTCCCATATTGGTAACAACCTTATAGGACAACTAACAGCCGCCCGCGACACGTACGCGTGAATCCCGTTTTACCCCCTTAGGGGTGGAGTTTCGTAAAATCCTTTCTTAGCGGATGCCTACGTCATAACGTCTATCTGCATGTCTAATTTCAACCCGATCCGTCCAGTGGTTTGGGCTGTGCGTTGATAGATCACTATGTCAGTCAGTCACCTTTGAGTTTTATATTTCCGACATAATATACTTATAAGATAGATAGATGAGGGAACACATAAATTAATTTAACTTAATACCTCTTTTGTTTCAGAGGAGCTGAGTGGCATCTTCGTAAAAAGCATCAGCGAGGGCAGCTCCGCCGACCTCTGCGGCAAGATACAGGTCAACGACAGGATTGTGGAGGTTAGTTATTATTTCTTAATCAGTTTAAATTACTCCAGGGTGTACCGGTCAAGATACAGCAAAAAAAAAGAACTTAAAACTTGAAATTGACCTGCATCTTGGAAATTTAACCTAAGACCATTAAGTTGTGGGCCAGTGTAAAATGCAAAAATATTAATAGCTACGAGTGTGGCCTCACACTGAGCAGATCTCAGTTAGGTACAACAAATCTTTTTGATTTTTGCTCTAGTTGATAAATAAAAAGGTAATAAAAAGAAATACAACGTTTTTATTATCAGAAACAGTTAGGTTGCTGAGCAACATTTTTCTTTTTTAAAGGTTACAAGATTAAGACTAGGACCAAAGGTTTTTAAAAAGTTTGCTTACTTTCTCTAAAACTAGGAATACCTTTCTTATGAAATAGGTAATAATTATTTATTGCTATCTCACGTAAGCAAACACGTATTGTTCTGGCTTAGCATTAGGTTGGTAAACATTATGTTATTGTTTTGGTTAAACATACGAGTATTCTAGCGTCTCTCTATTGTTGATTAACTACAGGGTACAGTTTCCATTATTATAACGAAGCCTATCGACCGGGCAACATGTAGAAATATAGAGCAATTCACGAAAAAGAGCGATTTGCACAACTTTAATACAAGAAACAAAAATAAACTTGCCGTTCCAAATTTCAGATTGCATAAGATTGGTAATTCATTTATGGGAAAATGTATTAAATTCTTTAATAAATTACCACAAACTGTTGTAGAACTACCCATTCATAAATTCAAAGCACATATTAAAAGTACCTTAATGAAAAAGGGCTACTATAAAGTCGATGATTATTTAAAAGATAAAAATGTTTGGGATACGTTACTGCCTAGCTCGCATAAATATTTATAACTTTGTACATTTAAAAGCATGTAAACCTTTGAAAAAGAGGCTGACAATAGTGACTGAGTTTCTTGCGCTGCTTCTTCTCAGCACTGGCCCATTTATTGTCCTGAAGCAGTGGTAGGGTTAATACTGGGACGTGTAAAAGTGCTTTTTTTAAGCCTATTTACAGAAATAAATGAGTTTTAATGAGTTTTTTTAAAGTTTTTTAATGTAAACAAACTGTAGGTACATGTCGCAAACACAATTCGGTCACTCTGCAAACAGCCCGAGTGCGCCCTGAATGCGTGATTGGGCGAGATGCACTACCTAGTACCTACTATAGCCTCTTCGATGTATAGACAGCAGAACAAGTCTTAGCTTAAAATGGTTTTAAATATTAATGAAGCTCTGTTTTATTGTTTATCAAGTTTTAACACTAATAACCCAGGCGTGGGAAGTGTAGGTAAATTCAATTTTCCTCTGATAAATTAGAGACTAAGGCCCGATTCGATCAAACTTTTATCCGAGAATAACTCCTGGTATAACTGGCACATTGACAGTTTCAGTACCTACGGGAAATATGTCAAAACTAACGATTTATTCTGAGATTAATATTTACTCTTGTTTGGTCGAATCCACCCTAAATGATAATATACACAGTATCTTACTTCTTTTTTGGACAATTAGGTTCTATTAAGCCTGCAATGCCCTGCCTAGGAACACACGCTTAGACCTTGTCAATCGAATTAAACCCTAAACTTCTAAATCAAGAGAATCTGATGATGATGATGAGATGAGTGCAAAAATGACTGTCAATCAGGACATGTTCTAAATTTAATTCTTTATATTAATGAAATCTTTCACCTATATTCAGTAGTCCAAAGTAATCCAAGAGCGAAACGGCTAAGAAGAAGGGAATATTAAGCATACCTAAATCTTGTGGGATGATCTAAATACTGTTATATTTCTGGTGAATTTGTTTTCGTTGTTCTGCTGTCGCTACCTCCAATTTGAATAGCGCCGCCGCGCGCTCTCACGTATTGTTCTACTCCACACTGGCGCTTATTTACTAGCAAGCTCGCTGCGTCGCCAATTTTAGAGTTTAGACGTTGCAATTTAAGATGAACTTGCTACGTGACTCGGTTTAATTGGGCGTTTTAGGTCAAGGTACGAGATTTCGAAATGTAGCTAAGATTTGAACGTGATAACCCGTACAGTTATGTGTTTGAATCCCAAGATGTACTCAATACGTTTATGGCTTCCATAACGTAACATAGGGTTTGAGAAATCAAATGTTTAGTCTTGTAGAAACATCCGTGTATTAGTGTGAGTAAATATGTAGGTATATTTTATGATATAAAAATTCGTTAAGTTGTTCTGAGTGAAAAAGACGGGTCTATTCCCACCTCTCGTTCCCACCACTGCTGCACTGCAACTCCTGTGTAGCCAGGATCTACAGCTTGACCGCCACAAAAACCCAACCAATGAAGGTCAAGTTTGTCCCGGGGGAAAGTTAAACTGTCATTGGACCCGCAACGAAATTAATCAGAAGAACATAGGAGGAGTTCGAAATTAAGGTTCGACTTCCCTCCATTGCAAAGCGGATGACAGGTGACAAACAAAGGTTTAAAACCTCTAAGAAAAGATTATGCACCACGGACAATAAATTAAACAAGATTTGACGACAGACACCAGACATGTGAAAGTAATAAAAAGCTTGTAATTAATCTTATGAGCAATTAGCAACTACCTGCCAATAATATTTTTCACAAAATCGCTTAAAAGCACGGATATTTTGTTCTGAGTGAGTGTGAGAATCGTAGATCGTAGCAGCAAGCCACAGAAAGGTCAATATGATCATACTAGAGGCAAATTTTGCCTCACTAGCCCGAGCATATTTTTTTCCGAATACCTACCTCTAAGTTCTTTCTTGAAATAAGATATTTCTTATATTTATTTGTTTATAGGTGGACGGGGTTTCCCTGCACGGGGTGACGAACCATAGAGCTGTGGCGTTACTAAGAGACGCAAAGGGGCCGGTGGTGCGGCTAAAAGCATTACGGTATGGCATAAAAAAGTTTGTACTCGTAGGATTATAGTTATGTTTTATGTACGTGATGTGATTCTGCAGAATTTCTCTAGTAGCCACAGTTGCTTTTAGTGTCGGCGAATTAGCCGCTTTTCAGAAGCAGTCGCTAAAACGCGCAATTCCAATACCGCATCCGAACGGATGAAGTCGTGAAATCGCGATGCTGGATTAATAGACTCGCTAAAACACGCGCTTTCAACACCGTTATCAAACGAATTAAGTCGCGAGATCGTGATACTACATTGATAGAGTCGCTAAAACGCGCGATTTCAAAACTGCGTTCGAACGCATGAAGTCGCGAAATCGCGATGATGCATCGAGACAGTCGCTAAAACGCGCGATTCCGATACCGCGGGATGCATGAAGTCGCGAGATCGTGATGCTGCATTGATAGAATCGCCAAAACGCGCGATTCCGATACTGCGTCCGAACGCATGAAGTCGCGAAATCGATGCTGCATCGATACAGTCGCAAAATCACTTATCGCTGATGCTAAAAGTAGCATATCTGCTGAGGCCCTTAATGTTTTATCTATCTCTGACTAACTGATCGGGAATAAAACCTCGAACCGTACATCAGCAAGTATCCTGTGTACGTCGTGGTATGCACACGACACAAGCTGGGACAGGGACCTTTTTGCTGCCCTAATATGACCTAGATAACTTTGCCGATGCCCTAGTTCTGACCTTATATTATTATCTTATGACTGATACTGTTGTGAGCTCTCTTTGTTCTGTGTATATTCATGTGGCAACAAAATAAACATTTTCTATTCTACTCTGTCCACCCACAAGGTGGATTGACGACCTTATAAAGGTAGCAGGAAAGCGCCATACAGGCCGCCACCAACCGGCCATTGTGGAAATTATTGGGGGAGGCCTATGTTCAGCAGTGGACGTCCTATGGCTGAAATGATGATGAAAAAATGAAAAATCTTTATTTTGTTAACAACAACAATGAATAGAATATAATTTGAGCTGTGGGCTAATTCAAATGCATTTGTCGAGAGTAGAAATCGTCTGTCAAATAATTTTCTAGTAATCAATTTTGAACTGATTGTCAAGGTAATACAGTTGAAAATTGAATAACAAAGCCAGACTACGCCTAATGTCAGATCAGCCGATGGTAGATGCCAAATTTCCAATATCGCGTACGAAGACGGAGAACTTTGTCAATATAGTGGTACATAAGGGTCATAATTAGTGGATGCCGACGATTTTCGCGCTGTCATCTCAACGACAGCCCACCCTTGTCGTTAGAGCAGTCGACTGGATAGAAAGCATGGAATTAACATGGTGATTGATAAACTAGGTGCAAATAAGCATAGGTATTTTATAACCACAGAATGCTTTTTGCTTAAATTTGAAAATAAAGGATATTGTTCTGCGTCCATACATCGTTCGCCCCAAGACCCCCAAGCAATGAAATAATGATTTTTATATGTGAAATTACTTAACGATTGTCACCTTATACTCCACTAGCTTTTCGCTCGCGGCTTCGCGCGCGTGGCCTACATTAGGTACCTACATATTTTACGGAACCCTATTATTTTCCAAAATAAAATTTAGCCTGTTACTCGTGGATAATGTAGCTTTCGAATGGTGAAAGAATTTAATAAAAACGGTCCAATAGTTTTTGAGTCTATTCATTACAACCAAACAAACAAAGTTTTCCTCTTTATAATATTAGTGTAGATACTTAAAGCACGGATAAGCGGGAGATTCGTTACAATAGGAAAAATGCTTCAGATTTTGAGGTTATTAGCATAACAGAAGTACTAGTCTTTTTCACGTAAGATGATCCGTATGACACTTCAAGGTTATCCATATTACGCATACTACATATGCAGAATATTTTTGAAAAAATATTTGTATTTTATTAGCAATATAATAAAAAAAAAATTAACTACTTGTCTTGAAATATATAGTAAAATCTGAGTCTATTGATTATATTTTAATTAAATACGATGTAAAAATATTTTTTATTTAATGTACGCAATGTGTGAAACGGAATAGATTTAGTGATGGGGTATTTCTTGTATAATAAAATCGATTATTTCCGCGGTTCATTAATCGATTGCAGTGAATACTTAGTTATTAAAAACATCACAAAAATAAACTATATTTTTAGATTATTGACTTTAATAAACGCATTGAAAATAAATTAATAGTTTTTAATTTAAAGAAACAGAACCAGTACTTTTTAGGAATCGTTTTTTTGAACACGAACCATGAAATTTGAATATTATAAATAAAAAATTGTTACAATAATATTTGTAATTAAAAAAAACATGTTTTTTGTTAAATATCACCTATACAAAGTATTTATCTAAAAGTAGGTTTTACTAACTCTTCGAAAAAAATCGATTGATAAATCGCCATGGTTTAGTTATGTGACATCTCTAAATCTTTCAAACTCGAAACGTCATACGGATCATCTTAGGTGAAAAAGACTATAGGAATAACAAACAATACTTATTTAACAAAATGTCTTACATATACATCTTAAATAACTGTACAACCAGCACCGTTATCCACGAAAATAAAATGATGATGAATTAACTATTTTAACGTTGGGAAATGATTTCCGCATTCTAGTCTATGGGAACGGCCAGTGGGTTATGTGGGACTCTCCCCGCCTGCTCATTAAACAAATGAAACTGAGCCGCGTGTTGTTGGTCTAACTTATTTCATACAGCTTCCTATTTCTAGATTCAAGGCATGTAAAGTAGACACTATAATGTAAAAAGTTAAAAGTAGCAGACTTTAACTTATATGAAAAATTTAAAATACTATTTGTAAACACTTGAAAAAGACTCAAAATAGGTATTGTTATCATCATTCAACTTAATATAATCCATCAATCATAGTAGAAGATTGCTTTGTGGCGTTTTTTGCTTGGCTTCTGTCCAGCAGTGGATTACCATTGCCTGAAATGCTGAATGTTAGTTAAGATAGATGTATTTTCTTTCAAACTATCGATTTCGTAACTCATCAAATATTGCGAATATTTTAACCCTGCAAAACCATGTACTATCGCCAACAGTGTTAACTGCCCATTGAAAGTCATGTCATCTCGTTCTATCGCAAAGAAAAAGTTCTGTATGCTCGTTTGCCTCCTATCACATAAAAAAAAAGAATCGCCATTTGATTAGAGCGAGAGCAAAAACGGAAATGGATAGTTAACAGTGTGGGCGTGTGTACAGTCGACAGCACATCAAGCTATAAATTTTCGTTGCAAAGTCGCCCCTATCGCAACGCAACTACGTAAGATACCACAGTGTTTACGTTGACGTGCTGTTGACCGTACATGACTACTTTTACTCTTTGTAATTTCGATTATAACTGCTTTACAGTACGACGAATCAACAGTAATAGAAGTGGAGCCCGAGTCTGAGATCCAGCCTCACCTCCCCTCCCCAACCTCCCCTTCGGAGGAGGCGGAAATCGTCATCGGGAGGGACGACGACGCGCCCGAGAGGGAGGCGCGTCGTATACAGGACAAGTGGCGGGACATACTCCAGAACGAACATGACTGGCCGGGACATCAGCATCACTACGAAATTATTGTAAGTAGCTACAAACTGTAGCAGTTAGATTTAAGTGTCTCGTAGCAAAAGGAACGAGGACAAGTAGCTGTAGCACTTATGGTAGCCGTAGCAGTCACAAAGCAGTGCCTCGGGCCTCGTAGCAATGACCTACTTACGTGTTGTAGCGTCTTCCTACTATTTATGTGTAAATGGGAAGTGCGATGTATACTGGACAAGTGGCGGGACATACTCCAAAACGAACATGACTGGCCGGGACATCAGCATCACTATGAGATTATTGTAAGTAGCCGTAAAAGTCAGAGTTCAAAGCAAAAGCTTGTAAAAACTGGCAAAAGCTACGAGTCGTAGCACTGATATTTGCCGTAGCAGTCATAGTGCCTCGTAGCAAAGAACTAAGTACACGTCGTAGCATATTCCTACGACTGTGTGGAGGTGCGCCGCATACAGGATAAGTGGCGGGACATACTCCAGAACGAGCATGACTGGCCGGGACATCAACACCACTATGAGATTATTGTAAGTAGTTTGTAGTGAGTGGTAAGAGCTACAAACCGTAGCAGTGAGACTTAAGTGTCTCGTAGTAAAATACAGCCGTAGTCGTTGCACTTATTGTAGCCGTAGCAGTCACAACGCAGTGCCTCGGGCCTAACAATGACCTACTTACGTGTTGTAGCGTCTCCCTACTATTTATGCGTAAGTGGGAAGTATAAAGTAGAAGATGTATACAGGACAAGTTGCGGGACATACTCCAGAATGAGCATGACTGGCCGGGACACCAACATCATTACGATTATTGTAAATACTACGAATCAGTGCCGTAGCAGTTAGACTTAAATACTTCGTAGCAAAGTGCAAGTATCTACGAGTGGCCGTAGCATTCTCAATGCAGTGCCTCGTAGTAATGACGAACATGTTGTAGGCTACGAGTTGTAGTGAAAAATAAGTGGCTGTAGCACTTTAATTGAAAAAATTCAAATTATTAATTGTATGAGGAATTGACACTTGTTTACGAGAGGCAGGAAATTCTGATTAATTTGATTTCTGCTAAGAGCTACGGTCTTGTACCACTGACGCGTGCCGTAGCTGTTATTTACGTACATTTACTCATTGTGGGCCTTGTTTTACAATACCACACCCAGTACGGCAAAAATCGTAGTTTGTTTCAGTTTTGTAACAATGATGTGACAATCTGACAATATCCAAGAATGTCTACCATCGTCTTGATATAAAAAGCAACTGTGTAGTTTAATTCGTAAAATATTTCCTTGTTCCCAGGTCGGCACAATAATGAAAGAGAAGGACAGCGGGCTAGGCATCTCGCTCGAGGGCACTGTACGGGTAGTCGCCGGCAAGGAGGTGCAAGCGCGCCATTACATCAGAGCCATCGCGCCCAACGGGCCGGTCGCTAAGCTGGGCCTGCATAAAGTGGGCGATGAGCTGTTGGAGGTTAGTACTTATACAGGGTGGAATAGGCTAGTTTCCTAAAAAAATTTTTTTAGTCCGTCATGTTTAATATCAAAAAATATTGGACACATATTTTTATTTGTCAATCTAACAAATAATTACATAGTTATGGTGCGTTGAAGTTCCGCACGACGTCACAACGTGCGGCACTTTTATGCACGCATTGACGTCACGGGCCTCTTCTTATGAACTTTGGCGCGCTTTATCTCTTTAAATTTTCATTAGTTTGAAAAAGTGAAAAATACGTGTAGAGTATTTTTTGATAAGTTAACTGACGGACTAATTAAAACTCTTGCTTTTTGACCCAGAAAACATCCCTATTTTGTAATGCCTCCTGGAGGGAAAGTACTCTCAATACTGTAGATAGAAAATTTTACTCAAAGGAAACATTCCTTAATTTTGGAAAATAAATAGAACAGCATTCAAAGATTTCTAAAAATTTGCTTGCCACACCCGGGAATCGAACCAACTAAAATTTGTTAAAATTACACCCTGTATTTTATTGCATCGATCGTTAGGATTAAGTATAAGGATGAAATCTCTCTAACAAACTTGATAAATCAAATGAAAGGTGGTGTGGCGTGTAAATAGCCACACCAGGAATAAAAAAATTGCGGGTTAAAATTGTCTCGAAATTGAGAACAAGAATACAACCTATGGTCAGCTTTGCATAGAATACACTGACTGGTCGTTTGAGTTCGCGGGTGCGGATCGTTACTAGAAACGAAAGATTTATAAGTGTTATTATTTTGCGGCGCGTCCCGATTATTATTATAATAATTATTTTTACGGGGCTCAGAGGCAGCGGNAAAAATCGCGCAGAAATACATTTTGTGACGTGTGTATTTCTTAGTATTTTTCACAAGTCTATTAAAATTTTGTCTATTAGTTATTGAACATGCTTAGTTTTATCATAAATTCATAAATGATCAATAAATTCAATCCTTTATTTCAGTCTCTCTTAATGAAATGACACCCNACAATTAAAAATGAATTATTCATAACATACCACTAGTCTGACCTACTTAAATAATAAAAAAGGTTTTAGAATAAAGTATCAATATCAGAATTTATTTTTATGTAATAAACAAATTATTCTAGTTTTCTCGAGAACCTGCTTCTTCAACTTCATAAATAAAATTGGGATATTATCTGCAGAACAAAATAATTGAGAATGTATGTACATGTCTGCAGTTTTCTCAAAGGCCCTAGAGCAATTCTAAGTATGCCATACATAAAAACCTAATTAGAGTCATCAAACGTCTCAGTCATTAATTTAGAGCCACTAGAAATACCTAGTTGACCAAAACTGTTGTCTTTTTGTATTTTTGAGTTATTATTAAAGACAAAAAAGATATTTGGACTATTATGTACTCTGTGGTTTGGGTGCATAATGTAATTCCTTTGCCTTAAAAAAAAGTAAATTGTCAAGATGACTGTTGCACCAAAAATGAAAATGAAAATTTATTTTGATAGATGTTTTGTTGAGTTCTGTGTAGTTTTGTGCGATTTAACGATAAGAACGACAATGGTAAAAGGTAATGGGGGCAATTTTTTTCCCTCAAGGAAAAAGATGAAGTTATAATCTTACTTGCCCACAAGGATACTGTACGAGCACGCCAGCATCGACCGCGACCTACAACATGCTAGCAGACTGGCCCATGAACCCTGAACGAACGTGCACCGTAGGCACTCTACACCGACGGCACATTGGACTGGACATATTGAATTGTGTACATTATGTAAATCTTGTATATAGCAATAGCATAACAGTAATAAACCAGATATCAACCGTCCGCGTTGTGTTTCATTTCCCCCAATGAGGCCAAGAAAGCCTTAGTGCAGTCCTCCTTCCTATCAAACCTTTCTTTAAATCTAATTAAAAGGTATTGTTAGGGCTCTAGGGACTACAAACGAAGCCAGAAATATAGCTTGGTTATGAGAAACCAATACCTACTACCTATACCGCATGTAATCCTGTCTCATTCTATAATATATGGCCGCCTGAATAAACTTGAGTAAAAAAGTGTTTCCACTGTCTCAATCACATCAAAAGCTTCAAACAAATCATTTAATTCAGTTTCCATTTTGCCGAATAGGCGTGATTGACAATAAGCGAAAGTGACAATTGTGGTGACAGTGACAACCTGCACGCGCAGTGATCGCCATCGCGGTCGCGGCAGTGTGAAACAACTTTTGCACGCGCAGTGGTCGCCATCGCCATCGCCATCGCTGCACGCGTTGGTTTGTCCGAACCTTTAGCATTTTTCACAAGTCAATTGAAATTTCGTCTATTAGTAGTTATTGTACATGCTTAGTTTTATCATAAATTCATAAATGATAAATAAATTCAATCCTTTATTTCAGTCTCTCTTAACAAAATGACACCCTCGTACTTGTATTATCATAAAAGACACAATGTCACCTCGAAAGCTAGCAGAATTTATTGAGTTATGTATGCAAATTGTTCACAGAAAAATATGTTTGTCGTTTGGCTGTTGCCTCCAAAGTTATGTTTTCCTCGCAGATTATTTCGCTTATGGTAAAAAACCAGAAGTTTTAAACATGCAAACGACTATAAATATTCATATAAAATCACGCTTTCGTGAATACATTATCTGCATGGCTAATGGTATTTTCAATTGGCAGCATTTCCCAACAACATTTTTTGCGTTCATTATTATCGCTTATTTCCTTAAACATCGCATAGGTGTTGTCGGATCCTCTTTTCGTTTGTTAGGTGTGTTGAAAAAATGAATACCTATCTACTTATGTTTTGAAAACTGGTCTCTAAACCGACGATAGGTAATAAAATTATAGTGAGTGAGCAATTACCCCGTTGACAAGGAAATTGTACACAAGTACGTCGTACGTTAGACTTTAGGTAGATGTGCATTAGTTGATTGAGCGATGTCGGCCGGCGATAGTCCGCGTGCTATCGAAGCGATGACGCCGCGTGATAGATGGGCCAGTTTGGCTAGTAGTGGCCTTACGAACAGAAGGGTTCATTTGAACTGGAATACTTTAATTATTGATTAATGACCAACTGTACTCGTTGACTCTTCGAACATCAATGTTGCGTTAACTGCTTATTCTAACAGGAACATCATGGAAGCGAATAAAAAGCCTTTTCTATAAACATACAAGCAATTTACGGTGCAGGTATAGTGAATGCCAAATAAAACCTAGTGGCTGATGTTTATCGACGCCGCAATACAAACGAGAAGGCGGAGGGACGGCAACGCAAAATATTCGACCGAATGGCGACGCTCATTTAAATTATTTTGAATGTATAAACAGCGTTGTTTTGGCGGGATTAAACCACCCAGATAAATATTGGAGGAGACAGTCCTGCGCAGGGCTGCGTGTTTGTGTTTAACTCTTACTCGTGGCAACCTTGTTATTTATTACGTACCTACTTCGAAATATATTTTTTGTGTCGTACGAAAGAATCTTTAAGTTTAAATGTCTGTAACCAGACATGAAATCCGATTGTACTACCTTCTGTAAGACGTGTCAATATTACAATAATGCAATATGATCTGACTTTAACAAAAACAATGTGGAACTAATACAACTACCGTATTTGTATAGTGTGCGTGACGGCTTGAAAACTAATAAAGAATTAAAATTTAACTAAATGCGATCTGGGTGAGCTTAAAATTGTCAACATAGTCTAGGACCTTATTTTGTGTCTCACTAAATAGATCAAAATATGAAGAAGCAAAACCTGTAGTGTTGTAGCCCTTATTACGAGTATTATACTTTCATAGTAATGGAGACAAATTGCATTTGCACGCAATAATTTTCCACCTGTTTAGCATAAACATTAGCGCACCCCTACGTCATCTTAAGTAACAAAGCGCGAAGTATGTCGTTATGAATTCAGAGAGAGGTGCGCCGCCCACCTGGACGACATGCTAATTGACCAAAAGAATGACAGCTGTTTAAATTACAGATGTTTTACTGAAGTTTCCCGGATCGTTGCTAATGTAGCTCTCAGGTTAGGCGAAAGAGCAAAGCATGGGATAAGTAAGTATTAATGCTTTTAGTGTAGGTAGGTATGTGACCAAAACTTATTTATTTATTATGCGACAAATAACAAAAAAATATATTGAACATCTATAGCAGATAGATAGATAGATCATCTCCAGTAGCGCTCTAAAAATAACTTGTTACGAAGTGTTGCTTGTGGTCAAGCACATAAATTAAAGCACATGATTCAGTTTGATTCTGTACTCCTACACGTTTTTAGTTTTAAATAAACTGACCAAGCTCAGCGGTGCGTTAATACGCGCAGGTGCGTGCGTCTCCGATGATCCGTGTCAGATTTATGTGCCGCCTATTAAACAATTTACCAACTAACTCTGTACACAGCGCAATGTCCGACAACTGAAAAGCTTTATTTTGGACCTTAAATCTCGGTAATAGGATTGTGGACTAGATGTGGTGTCTTGGTGCGATTGTGTATGTCCCCAGAGATCGGTTTATGAGCGTGCGCGGTGCATTTGATTGCATTGGGCCGAATATTCCGGACAGGCAAAGGGATTGTCAGTGATATACCTACATCCTACAGTTATGCTCTGTGTGNTGTGTCGATGGACCTTGAAGTTCAGTTTGAGTAAATAGATTCTTTAATGCACACCACTTAGTCCATGACATCACAGAAAGCTGAAGAAAAAAGGTTTGTTATGTTATGGTTGTGTCTCTGTTTTGTGCACTAAATAAATAAATAAAAAACAAGTAAAAGTTTAGTAGTTTTAAATAACGTACGTTGCCACGAAGGGGTAAAGGCACAAATAACTTCTTTGTCGGCTTGAATTAAATTAAGATACAACGAGACTATGTTCAGCAGTGGACGTCCTATGGCTGACATGATGATGATGATGATGATGATGACAACGAGACAAGAAAACATAGCAATCTTTAAATTGCAACGTTTTAATCGGGTAAGTACTTATATGTATTGCAAATAGACTACG